CTTGCCGTGCTTTTCCAGGAGCTTCAACAGCTCTGAGAGGAGAAAGGCCGGGACCTTCTAACACCCCTTCCGCCAAGAAAAATCAACGGGACTCTCCACTGGGCTGTTCAAAATGGAGGGTTGGAATCCCTATGGGGAAGCCGCAACAAAGGGGATAAGTTCCTTGCGGAACCCGAGGTTAGGACTCATTAATGAATATATTACCTTTGAGCAGCCCAGTTCCATGACTTCTGACTTGGTTTGCAACACGCGGAAAAGGTGAAAAAGTCAGCTTCCCTGTGGAGCCCGGTGGTTTGTGTTTCGGGTGCTTTCTCTACTTAAGCCAGGGGTTTAAATCCAAATCCAAACCACCATGCAAACCACCAACTAAGGATTACCTGAGATAGGATGGCGCTGGGCAACTGGGTAAAATGATTGGTGGGGCAACGAAGCGCTTTGCCTCATCCCAGCGATGCAAATACCAACTCAGGATGAGCCTCCACGCTGTCTGTAAGACAAACGCTGCTGAGCCTGCCAGCTAGCGGAGATATTTCTCTACGATTGCATGTCAATTCGGGTGCAGCTCGGCAATCCCATTCAATATGAAACTACAAGGGAGGAGGCCTAGATATCATTTTCTAGTTGCTGAGAACCAGGAATGCATGGGTTTGTCACAATGACCCCAAATGGCGGTTTTCCATCTGTCTTCCCTTTAAGAAAAGCCCCAAAGCGGGTACTCAGGGAAACACACACACACACAAACACACTTGATATGAGACGGCGAAACTGCGAAGGTGCACCCCGAAACGTAGGAAGACGCATGCACGGAATCAGGTTGGAGTTTCGGCATGGCTCACTCAGGTCGTCGTTCCCGACAGCGGGCATCCTCTTCAACGGAGTGCCAACACCCAGCTGTCAGTACTTCACGCCGTTGCTCACCATGGTGGCACCCGACTCCAAACACAAAAGGACAGCGGAAACCCCTTAGAAACAGGGGGGCCACACACACACCCCCCGCAGAGGGAGAACACAGGAAACCGAAAGGCCGCCTCCATCATGATGCTCGATGGGAGATTTGGTCACTTTTTAAAAAAATCCTGCCTGTGCGTCTGGACGCGCATGTATCTCACAGTATTAAAAAGCGAGTTTCTTAAACAAGGGCCAAACAGGAACCCAGACCCCAGGGGTGGTAGAGCTGCAACTGTATCACCGGAGACGACAGAACAAATTGTGTTGGACACGTTAAGGTAGTCTTCTGATGCTGTTCCAAAGCTTTCCTGAGGCGCTCCAAGCTCTTCCAGCGCTGCGTGACTGCCAATGTATACATCGGACTGCGGGTTGACTGAGTGCGGAAGGGCAGGGCGAAGTTCTACTCTCTGCTTCCAGTATACCGCATTGGTCTGCGAGAAGTGGGTGAAGGTGTCGAATAAGGTCATCAACCCACAGGGGAGCTGCGCGCCTAGCAGTGGGACCGTTTGTGCCAGCCGGTTCATAGTTTGCTAATGCCCTCCAGCATGAGCGTGAGCATCACTTCTCTCACTTGCCGTACATGTATGAACTGAAGGAGCGCTCGTTTCGATCCCTTACTCATCATAGTTGCCGAAGTGATGCCACCATCTGAGTGCTGGTTCAGCGTTAATGAATTGCCCATGTTGCATGCCCAGCAGCTTGGCTCGACGATTGTGCTCTCGGCTGGAATAAGTGATGCTAGTACTGCCAATGTATACATCGGACTGCGGGTTGACTGAGTGCGGAAGGTCAGGGCGAAGTTCTACTCCCTGCTTCCAGTATACCGCATTGGTCTGCGAGAAGTGGGTGAAGGTGTACATGTTTGGGTGGATGCGCAAGCGTCGTAGTCGGCGTCTGAGTTCTGTAAGTGCATGTGTGGGATGGCCGTAGTGATGAACCATGAGCAGTGTGGCTAGGGACTCGGCCCACATGGACAGTTGCTTGTTGACCATCGGCATGTTGAGAACTGCTGCGGTTGGTGAATGCAACCAGGTCATGCATATAGTCACTTGACGATGGCCCGTAAGGTTGGTCTCGATTGCGGTTCGGGTTGTTTAGGGTTGTTCAGGGTTTCCAGGAGGGGCCCCACGGGGAACCAGCAAAAAGAGCCAACACACAGGAAAAACAAAGGGGGCCTAAACAGGACAAGAGGGGACCAACGCAAAAGAACACCAAAGGGATCCAAAACAGGCCGAGTTTTAGCAAGGCAAGGGGACCAAAGCGGGCCAAGGTTAGGGGACCGGCGCAGGAAAAAGGACAAAAACACAAAGCCAAGTCTAGGGAACCGACAGAGAAAAAGACAAACAGAGCCAAAACAGGCCACGTTTAGGGGACCAGCGCAGCAAAAAGACAAAAGGAACCAAACCAAACCAGAAGCCAAAACTGTTACAGGGCGTAAGATCAATTGAGGGACGGCTGATAAATGCTGTGGTCGGGGTCGATCAGGATGACCCAGGTGGCAAACTCACCAGCGAAATAGCCGCCCCCCAACGTGGGTTCAGGGATGCCATAGTGTTTGGCAGCACTGACTTGGAGTAGGGGGGAGCTCTGTGATCGCTTGCCATCCGGTGCGCGGCGTGGTCTTGCCGGTGGGTTGGCCGGTGGCAGCATCTGACTGGATGGATGAGATGCCGACGACGTAGGTGTCGGAGTCGGTGCTTTAGTCGTGGTGGTCACTGGCTTTGGCACTGGGGTGGCCTGGTTGGGAGCCGAGGGCGTTGTAACTGGCTGCGGAGGTGTAGAACCTGATACCGCCGCATGCTGAGAGACCGTGGGAGTCTGCAGGATTGCCGTAGAGGTCGGTGCGGTAGCCGGAGTCGGACATGCTGTAGCTGGAGCCGTTGGGGTAGTTGGGGTTGCCGGGCGCGCCTTCACCTGGGTTTGTGGTAGTGGGCCAGCAGCCGATCCAGGCCGGGTGGGAGAAGCGGCAATAGGCACCGTTGCGACACGAGGAGCAGGGGATGGAGCCGAAGGTTTTGTGGCCATCGGGATGCCGGACAACGTGCCAGTAGTGCTGAAGGTCGGTGCCACAAGTGTACTCCTGCTCGGTGATGCTGTCTGGCGCACTGGTGACCTGGGTGACGTAGGACCCGCTGTGTGATTGGTGGCCTTCGACATAGGGCCTGCTGAGTTCGACATTGGACCTGCGTTGGGGCGCGGCATCTGTTGCCGACAATTGCGAGCCAACGGCGTCATGAGTTCTTGCCTGATGTGTCGGGTGGTCTGGTGGGTAGTCAAACAGTTGGTCTGACTGAAAAAGGTCCACAGGAAACAGTCTGGGGTGCCGGAATGTCTGGGAGAAGTCCAAGCCTGTATTGAGAAGGTCAGCTGGAACAGTCAAGCGTCACGAGCGACAAGGTCCGGTAACTGTCTGTAGAAAATGTCTTTGCATGAGTCGGAACAGATGCCCACAACAGGGATCAAGACACTGACCGAAGCCCGGACGCAGTGCCTAAACACACTTGATATGAGACGGCGAAACTGCGAAGGTGCACCCCGAAACGTAGGAAGACGCATGCACGGAATCAGGTTGGAGTTTCGGCATGGCTCACTCAGGTCGTCGTTCCCGACAGCGGGCATCCTCTTCAACGGAGTGCCAACACCCAGCTGTCAGTACTTCACGCCGTTGTTCACCATGGTGGCACCCGACTCCAAACACAAAAGGACAGCGGAAACCCCTTAGAAACAGGGGGGCCACACACACACACACACACGCACACAAGTTGCACAGGTCATCCCCTCACCGAGGCGAGCGCATAGCGCAGGAGGTCGGCACAGAGCTTGAAGAGGCTCGCCGGCACCATCTCCCGCCAAAAGGCCCAGGCGAGATTCCGCGCCAGCGGCAAACCTGGCGGGCGCAGGTTCCCCTTCTGGGTACTTGAGCCACCGTCACGAGCATGGGACAACACGTTTGGTTATGTGCTGCTATACAAATTCACATGGAACCCAAAAGGGTTTTCCAGAGATCCATGTCCCATTTGTAGGGGAGTAGCCCGTGGTTTAGAAGTTCCCGGTGCATTTTCCCAAAGGGCAACCTCGGCTTCTCCCGACCTTGCAAATGTGTAGGTATAATGCTGCTGTGCTTCTCAGGGGGGCAAGAGCTCATGTTGTCTTCGTGCAGTGGAGGTGGGGAGTTCATGCAGTAGCAGTTGGATCTTGCGATCATAGTTGTTGTTGGCCTCATTATTCGTTAGGAGGTCACCAGTGTCGTGCTGGCCAGGCCAACGATTGCCACGCTTAAAAGAATTGGGAGCAATACTCAACTCAACACATGACAAGTTGGCAGATTGTCGTCAAACCACTCCTGAAGAATTCAGAACGTCCTGTTCAAATGGGATTGCAAAAAATGGCTTGTCAAAAAGGAACCCTAAAATGGTTGCGTTTCTCTTGGTTTCCCTTCAAAACCACTGACAAAATGTGCGCACTCAAAGAACAGACCAACATCTAGGTCTCAAGAAATTATTGCGCCAAGGTGTTTAGGCGAGAATACGCAAGCTTACGCGAGCTTCTGCGATCAGAAAGGCGACTGCGCTTCCGCTCTTATCCGGCTGTACTGCCCTTATGACCAATCCCGTTGAAACGTAAAGAAACTTGGTTTCGCGAAAGGCTGGACAGATTTGCACAGTTTAGGCAAAGAAAGCAGCTCCAGCTCAATAATTAAGCAGAAAAGAAATACAAATAACTTTGACTTGGATAAAAACAAACAAAGCAATGTCACACCCACCTGGTGTCCGCTCAAAAAGCAATACAACAGAAACACGTACCCCCCGTACAACAACAAAACCCAACATTCCCGTTCCCCCGCCGAGTAGCTGGCGCGCTCGCGCTCGCGATCGCTTCGCCGGCGCTTGATCTCTGCTTGGAGCTTGGAGTCGGCATCCGCCACCGAGATGGGCGGAACGAAATGCCAAAGGTCCTGATGGGCTAGAACTTGTTGATTTTGCCCAGAATCGGTTGGCATGGGCACTGCCGCCAAGAATCCTTTGGGATCAGTTGGGGCATTTCAAAGAGGGCCTGACAAGGGGCTGGGAGTCCTTTGAAAAGTTGGGTTACAGCCACCCTCTTTCAGGAAGACCAAGCTGCGCGCGGAATGAAAAACAACGTCAACGACAATGGGTAGGTTCACTGTAGCTTTCCTTTAAAAACAACCAATCAAAAAGCACACACACACACAAATGACCGCGAACTTCAAACAATGCCCATAGGAATCCGACGGCTCTGCCGGTGTGTTTTCTGGATGTTCTTGTGTGTAGTCTTATTCACGTCTTCGCGTTGGCGCGAATTTTCGCCTCGCTGAATTGACCCCGGAGGGGGGGGATCCAAAAGTAGCTAAACCTGCGCCAACCGATATTCGACATAGCGGGAAAATGCAAACGAAACGACATACAAGAACAAGTGCGAGAAATGCATAAATGCTTGCATTTGCTTGCTGCCAGTGGCGCATGAACAAGTAATTGATTCTTCAGCACAGCGCCGAAACACCAAGGCGACTACACATGATACAGGAAAGCCACACGCACGTCTACTTGCGCGCGCTGACAAAACTCGGGCCCAAAGACATTCTACAACACGGCAACAACAATAACCGAGACTGGAGCCAAGAACTGCAAGACAGCCACACCCCAGGCTGCAGGGCCAGCCAAAATCGACAGAAGGCGGCACACCTTTATACACACATGACAAGTCTACTACCTGCATCTTCATTTGAGCAACAGAAGTGCGCACAACGGAAAAGTGCGCGTTTCAATCAAAAAACGCGCAAAGTTCCAAGAACTGCGCGAGGCGTTGTTTTGCTGGTTTGGGCAAAGGATGGCAAAGGTGCGGGGTGTGTATAGCCTGGACATGCACCTGTCAAGCTGTTCAAAAATAACTAGGCAAGGATACATGCGCCTTTCGGCCAGAACTCGCCTAGATGATCCAAGGAACCAACGGGCATTTTGGCTATTGACCTGCGGAGCGTTGTCGGGAATAGCCTTCAACATTGCCAAGCCAGCTTGACAGTCAAGGGAAACAAGTTTCAGATCCTTGATGAGATCCGAACGGCTCTTCCAAGTGGCGCAGCTTCAACTGACGACCACATGTGGCTCAAAATCGATCTTTTGGTTGGCAATTTGGGTGCTTTAGACATCGTCTGCCTAATTAAAAGGTCGAAAACGCGCGCATGCATGCGCACACTTTCCGTATTTGCGCGCAATTGCGGATATTTGCGCGATAGTACCGGATTTTTGCGCGCAAATTGCGGGCTGGCAAGGCGCCGAAAATCGATTAATTTCACCTAATAGGCGACTTGTCTCAATAACAAGTGTGGCGCAAGAACAGTTCTGGAGCAAACAGCGGATCCGTGCAAACCCAGGCAATACTTGCGAGCTTGGAGCTATTTGACGGAGCCAAGCGGGTTGCTAAATCAATGGCCACAAAGTGTCAAGTGCAAGTGATAGCTGGTATTTGTGCCGGGTGCCATGTGTGCCACAAATGTCCTGCCTAAAACAAGCCTGGGTGGAGACAAAAGAAGAGCTAGATATGCTGTAAATATCAAGGACTTCAACAAACAGCTGCGCCGGCACGGGCACGAGCAGCGCAGTATCGATTGTTTCCACAAGTAGTAAATACTTTGGCTACCAGAGGAGTTTCATCCGAAAAGTGCGCAAATCCCTCAAAAGTGCGCAAATTGCAAAAAAAGCGCGCAAAGACACCACAAAACGCGCAATCAAGCATTTGAGCAGAAAAAAGTGCGCAAACGAAGATTCAGGTATGAGAATTTGTGCTGGATCTGTAAGTTCTATCTACACTGGCATCCCAAACCCGGCCAAAGCGTCCATTTCTTTACAAACGATTCGCATGCAGAAAGTGGCATTCCTTTCTATTCAATTACAACACATCCGAAATGGCACAGATTCGAAACTCTGGTGCATCTCACCTGTCAACCACACCGAGTCGCCAAGACCCTGAACAAATAGGGTCATCTACCCCAAACTTAGGGGTGACCCCTTTTTGTAGGGCTGGAGACTGTCACTTCCTTTGGGACAAACTGCCTGGATTTTCCGCAAAGGGGTGCCCCCTGTTTGAAACAGTAGTGAATGAGGGAATGAACCTAAGGTTCCACTTCAAGGCAACCAAATTGGGGATGGTTCATGGCAGGAATGAGAAATGGAATGAGCCTGGGGTTCCCAAAGGTAACCAAAATTGGGGATGGTTCATAGGGGCATCAGATGATTCATAGAACCACCAAGGTTTGCAGCGCCTGGAGGGTGATCTCTCCACTCTCCACCAAAGGCCCGAGGAAGCTGAAGAGAAGCCCCGAGCCGAGAGCGCCACTACGCGCAGGCGGCAGCAGGGGCTCTCGCATGCTGCCATCGCGGATCCCGGTCGCTTGGAAAAACGCGGTGTGTAGACGCCGGTGGATAAAAATGGGTTTTCGAGGGCACCCCTTTTGGAGTGGCTTGGGGAAACCACTAGGACAACCACCATGTTTTGGGGTCCTCAAAACAAAACTGATGAGAATCAAAATGGCCC